TGGCATCCTGGCCGCCCTTGTAAAATATGAATGCAAAGTGGTCGCGGGGCGGCCGCGCATACTCCAAATGTGGAGGCAGAGTGTGGTTTGTATTGTTTCCAACCCTCCTTGGTTGGGTATTCGTTTTGAATAGAGCAACGCGGTCGCGTCTCCCTCCTCCCGCCTCCTGCCTCTCGCCGCGATCTCGCCTTCTGCCCCCAAGGACCTCGCCATCCCTGGGGGGGGCTGCGATTTTCGAAATTGTCGCCATTTTCGATGGCTGCTGGTGGGTCCAGCGGAGTGAGGCACCGCGCAGATCTTAGCGAGACCTCGCCGTCCCTGGGGGGCTGCGATCTGCGAACATGTCGCCGTTTTCGAGGCCTGCTGGTGGTTCCAGCGGGGTGAGGCACCGCGCAGATCTTAGCGAGACCTCGCCGTCCCTGGGGGGCTGCGATCTGCGAACATGTCGCCGTTTTCGAGGGCTGCTGATGGGTCCAGCGGAGTGAGGCACCGCGCAGATCTGAGCGAGACCTCGCCGTCCCTGGGGGGCTGCGATCTGCGAACATGTCGCCACTTTCGAGGGCTGCTGGTGGGTCCAGCAGAGTGAGGCACCGCGCAGATCTGAGCGAGACCGCGCCGTCCTTGGTGGGGGGGCTGCGATCTGCGAACATGTCGCCACTTTCGATGGCTGCTGGTGGGTCCAGCGGAGTGAGGCACCGTGCAGATCTGAGCGATACCTCTCCGTCCTTGGTGGGGGAGGGGTGGGGGGGGGGGCGAAATTGTCGCCACTTTCGAGGGCTGCTGGTGGGTCCAGCGGAGTGAGGCACCACGCGTCCTTGGGGGGCTGCGATCTGCGACATTGTCGCCACTTTCGAGGGCTGCTGGTGGGTCCAGCAGAGTGAGGCACCGCGCAGATCTGAGCGAGACCTCGCCGTCCTTATCGCCATTTTCGAGGGCTACTGGTGAGCCCAGCGGATCGAGGCACCGCGCGGATCTGAGCGAGAGCTCGCCATCCTTGGCGGGCTGCGAGCTTCACGAATGCCGCTCGCATAATTACATGCGCCCATGTCACGTCATCACCTCCTGTATAGCGTGTCCCAGGCTATTCGTGCCCCGCTTGCGCATGGGTTGGGTACGTCGCCAGGGTAATGTGTCCCCAGCCCTCCTGTGTGTTGGGTCCTTGGTTTGCATCCGCAGCGCCGCGCGTCTCTTCCTCCTCCTCTCTCCTCCTCCTCCTCCTCCTCCTCCTCCTCCTCCTCCTCCTCCTCCTCGTCCTCGTACGTGTTTATAGTCGCCCTAAACACGGGTCCATTTCGGCACACCCCTCACGCGTTTCGTGGCCCCACATGGAGCTCCACCGAAGGCCCCAGTGGCAAAGTTCGCATAGCGGCCCCGCGCCCATTTCGGCACACCCCTCACACATTCCTGCCCCCCGAGGGAGCTCCACCGAAGGCCCCAGTGGCACAGGCCGCATGGCGGCCCCGCACCATTTTGGCGTTGCCCTCGCACGGTTCGTGGCCCCATACGGAGCTCCACCGAAGGCTCCAGTGGCCCAGGCCGCACGGCGGCCCCTCACACGGTTCGTGGCCCCATAGGGAGCTCCGCCTAAGGCCCCAGTGGCGCAGGCCGCATGGCGGCCCCGCCCCATTTTGGCACACCCCTCACACGGTTCGCGGCCCCATAGGGAGTTCCACCGAAGGTTCCAGTGGCACAGGCCCCATGGCGGTCCCGCCCCATCCCCACCCTTCACACGGTTTGCAGCCCAATAGGGAGCTCCACCGAATGCCCCAGTGGCACGGGCCGGTTGGCGGCCCCGCCCCATTTGGACACATTCTTCACACGATTCGTGGCCCCATAGGGGCTTCCACCTAAGGCCCAAGTCGCACAGGCCGCATAGCGGCTTCGGGCCATGTCGGCACACCCCTCACGCGCTTCGCGGCCCAATAGGGAGCTCCACCGAAGGCTCCAGTGGCACAGTCCGCATGGTGGCCTCGGGCAATTTCTGGCACTCCCCTCACGCGGTTCGCGCGCTTCGCAGACACAGAGGAGCTCCACCGAAGGCCCCAATGGCAAAGTTCGCATGGCGGCCTCGGGCCATTTCGGCACACCCCTCACGCGTTTCGCGGCCCGATAGGGAGGTCCCCTGAAGGCCCTGGTGGCACAGTCTGCATGGCTGCCTTTTCCGCACACCCCTCACGCGCTTCGTGGCATCATAGGCAGCTCCACCGAAGGCCCCAGAAAAACAGTCCGCATGGCGGCCACGGGCCATTTCAGCACTTTCCTCTCACACGCGTCGCGGCCTCGTAGCCAGCTTCACCGGAGGCCCCATGAGGGAGCAGAAGGTTGTTCGCAGCGGTGGTCCATCGGACCCGCAGCAATAGTTTCAGTGCGAGGTCGAGGAAGACGAGAAAGGATGATGGGGGAGCACGGGAGTAGGAACAGCACGTGGCCCCAGTGGGCGCGCTCGCATGGCGTCCTTGCGCTCGCTTCGGCACGCCAGTCACGCGTTTTCGTGTGCCACAGTGAGATTCACCGATGGCTCTAGACAAGCACAGACTCGAGTTAGCAATTCGCATTAGCGGTGGTCCTTCGGACCTGTTGAACACATCATTTTTGGCAGTCGATCGTCTCCTATGCGTACGTTTCCGCATGTTGCTTTGGAGCAATTGCTGGCATTCCGAAGGACTCCACTATCGCACATTTCACAACGGCCACCCCCTGTCATACCAGACGCCCAGGGTCCTGGTGTGAGTCGTTCGGGCCCTTCTTCCTGGTGTGAGTCGTTCGGGCTCTTCGTGGTGTGAGTCGTTCGGGCTCTTCGTCCTGGTGTGAGTCGTTCGGGCTTCTCGTGGTGTGAGTTGTTGGGGCCCCTCATCCTGGTGTGAGTCGTTCGGGCCCCTCCTCCTGGTGTGACTCGTTCGGGCTCCTCGTGGTGTGAGTCGTTCGGGGCCCGCGTCGTGGTGTGAGTCGTTCGGGCTCCTCGTGGTGTGAGTCGTTCGGGCGCCTCGTCCTGGTGTGAGTCGTTCGGGCCCCTCCTTGTGGTGTGAGTCGTTCGGGCTCTTCGTGGTGTGAGTCGTTCGGGCCCCTCGTCCTGGTGTGAGTCGTTCGGGCTCCTCGTGGGGCCTCTTGGGGGCCTCTTGGAGCCTCTTGGGGCCTCTTGGGGGCCTCTTGGGGGCCTCTTGGGGGCCTCTTGGGGGCCTCTTCTTGGGGCCTCTTGGGGGCCTCTTGGGGGCCTCTTGGGGGCCTCTTGGGGCCTCTTGGGGGCCTCTTGGGGGCCTCTTGGAGGCCTCTTGGGAGCCTCCTGGGGGCCTCTTGGGGCCATCTTGGGGCCTCTTGCGACCTCCTCAGAAGCGCAAAGTAGAGCTGCCCCCTGAGAAGGACAAAATGATGCCAAAACCTTCGTAACATCAATGATTTTGCTATGAAGGACGATGAGCGCTGCCCCCTCAGAAGTCCAAAATGGGGCCAAAACCATAGTAAAATCAATGTTTTTGGCTTCACCGAAGAGGAAGGGGGCCAAACTCCCCCCCCCCCCTCGGGGCCCGAATCCTCGTGAAGGTCGTCGTTTTTTGGCCCTCCCAGGAGTCGAACAAGGCCCCCCTGACGACGCTCGGGACTCCCTCTCCAGGTCCAGGGGGAGGGGGTAGGGGGAGGGGTAAACCCCTCCCCGAAGGGGAAGAAGGGGGGTTGAGGACAGAGAGAGCTCCCTAAACCACTCACGCCCAAAGGGCTGGTGGGATTTCAGTCTGTGTTCTGAAGGGCGTCATCATCGCAACTATTGAAACGGGATGGCCCGTTTCATGCCCGACACCCACGGACTTGGGGCAGCAATTCGCATCATCGGCGGGTGTGAATTCAGAACATCGAGTGTGTTTTTGACGTGTTTGGTGAAGCGCCCAGAGGTGTTGTCAACATGCTCTTATGTGTTGAGTGGTTCCATGCAAAGTTGCCTCGTTTTGCGAATGGGTTGGGTTGTTCGCCAGGCTCGCTGATAAGGATGGTGGGCGGGGGTGATCATGGTGTCGGCATTGCTCCAGGCTGGCTGCCGGCCGGGTCGGGGAAGGGGTGTTTATTTATATAGATAAGGAACAGTGATCTACCCTTCCCCCCCAACAGGGGAAGGAGGGGCTCTGGAATAGGAACGCACACATCTTTATAAACCATCTACGCCCAGAGGGCTGGCGGAACCATTTTCATTGTAAGGAGCGTCTTATAAGAAGGTAGACGTCCGAGAATCCTCAATGCCGCCGTAACACAATTCCTGGGACTCCAACCCCACAGATCAATGCGACTGTTGCGACCTGGCAATCCTAACACGTACCAAAGCCATTCCTTGGACTACCACCCCGAATACATGCTAGTGTTTCGCCCTGGCAATATTTGAATCGCGTCAGATGGCCAGTCTGGGAAATGCGGCCATCAAAATGTTTGACACTAGAGCAAACTTACAAAGAAGACGACTGTGCGCGGTGCTATACCGAGAGACACATGTTGAACAGGAACCGCCCTCTATTTTTGAAGCTGTTGCAATCGCGCAAGACGAGACGAACGTGCGCGGCGCTAGGGCGAGAGTCACATTTTGAGCATTGCTTGCCTTCCATCCGCGAATATTTGCAAGTTCCAAGTTTCAGGATGACAGGTGGCGGGGAAGTCTCAAGCGAAACGTCCTGCCCGCCCTACCGACACGTTGCGACAGGGATGAGTTATTCATACGGAGAAGGGATGGAGGAGGGACCGGGGGATGCGGGTGAAGACAGGTCGCCCGCAGGAGGCGCAAGGGTGCGACCACGCGAATGTGACCGCGCGTCGTTGATGATGTTGGTGGTGGTTCTGATGAAGGCGACGGGGAGGACGGTGATGCTGATGACGATGAGGGGGATGATCATGGTGGTGGTGATGGCGATGAGGGGATGTGGTTGTAGTGGTGGAAGACGAGCGGGGGGTGAGAGAGGACGAGGAGGGACAGTTGGCAATGATGGTGGTGGATGACGGGGGGTAGGACGCCTCCATTCCCTGTTCAGGTGGGCTCGTGCACAAGCCGCACGGAGCGCTTCGGGCCGATGATACCTTCCGCGCAAGGTGACCCGTCCGCTTCGCAGCGTCGCGTTGGAGTGTCAACCTGGTCTGTGCAAGGAAGGGGGGATGAGTAGAATGCGGGGGGCTGGGGAAGTGACACACGGATTGAGCTGGGATAACGATTGAGGAGGACGAGGAGAAGGAGGACATCCAATGAGAGAGGATGCGTGATCACGGGGAAGACGGAGGGTGGGACAAAGATGGACAGAAGGGGAAGGGCCGTGGGGAAATGGAAGCATAATGTTGTTTTTGCTGCTGCTGATGGTGATGCTGATGATACTGGTCGTGGTGATGGTGACGGTGTTGGTGATGATGATGGCGATGCCGATGGTGATGATGATGATGCTCACGATGTTGATACTGATTATGCTGACGACGATAATGGTAATGACGATTCTGATACTGATGGTGGATGAGCTTGATGATGATGATGATGCTGACGATGACGATGATGATGATGATGGTGGTGATGCTGATTATGATTCTGAGTGTGATGCTGATGATACTGATGATGACGATGAGGATGCTGCAGGTGACGGTGATGATGATGGTGATGCTGATGATAGTGGTGGTGGTGATGATGGTGGTGGTGATGATACCGGTGATGGTGATGATTTCGATTATTAGTATGATGGTGACGTTACCGGTGAAGCTGTTGCTGATGATGGATAATGTTGATGATGATCGTGATGACGATGCCGCTGTTGCTCATGGTGATGATGAGGACGGTCATGCTGATGATGATGATGATGATGATGATGCTGATGATGATGATCATTATGATCGTGATGGTGATGATGATGAGGAGGAGGAATGGGAGGACGGTGGGATCATGATGACGTTTGCGAGGATTATCACGCTGAAGAAATTGACGTTGCTCATGATGTTGGTGCTGGTATGTGTGACGATGGTGGTAAATGGGAGGTTCGATGAGATGGTATCTGTATGACTGATGATGGTGAGGATGTCGATGCGGATGGCGATGACATTGGTGGTGACGGTGGCGGTGACGGTGATGATGACGATGCTGGGATGATAATGATGATGCTGATGACGATTGTCTTGTTGATGGTGATTATGATGATTATGGTGATTGATGGTGGCGAGTATGCCGATGGCATGAGGAATGAGGATCAGGAATGCGATCAGGAATAAACTATGGATACGGAGGGTGAGTGAGGAGCATGAGGGAGGAGGGATGGAGGGATGAGGTGGGTGGAAGAGAATAGACGGGGGTAGTAATAGAGATGGGATATACGATCGTGACGATGATCATGGCCATGGCGATGGTGAGGACTAGGATTGTAGTTGTGATTGCGATGCTGTGTTGGTGATCATCATTGTGATGATGACGAGGGTGGTTCTCAGGATGATGATGTCAGCGGTGGTGGAGGTGCTGATGATTATAGGATAATGATGAGCATCGGATTTGGGGAGGGAAGGTGGGGAGGGTCAGCGCTGGCAGGAGGTGTTGAGGGATCGATGCGGAGGGAGGGGGTGAAGAGGGAGGGACGCGGATGGGTTTGCGGTGGGCGACGCCTTCGGAGCTTGGGCGCTCTCTGGACGGTTTGGAAGTTTTCTGCGGAGGTTTGTAAAGATTGTCGATTGGCGGGGAGGAGCTGGGAGGCAAGGGAGTAGACGGAGCGAGGGATTCGGAGGGCGTCGACAGAGGGGCGAAGGAGGCGGGTCCACGGGAGATGAGGGAGGCGAGGGGACGGGGATGCGAAGAGGGTAAGGAATATAATGGCTGGGATGGCGAGGGAGGACGGATGCGGACAGAGAGGTGGGAGTGAGGGATGGATGGAGGGAAGGACGGATGGAGGGAGTTGGCCAAGCTCGATGGAAAGATCTCCCGCGACGCATCGTGTACGGTGCCGCTTGGGAGCGCGACGTTGCTCCTGGAGATTCTAGGCTACGCCGATTTCGACGGCCAGAAGGAGGTCTTGACGATGTTCCGACCGAGGTTCGGGCTTGAGCACGCGCCCAGGATGTAGAATTTGGTGTTCGTCAAGACTCTTGCGGAGTTCGGGCTGCGCCCGACCGCAACCGGCCCCCGGCTGTTCGTGAAGCGCGGTGCTCGCGAGCAACTGCAGCTCGGGCCGAGTTCGGCAAGAGCACGAGTCGAGATCGTTCGAGCACGTTGGCATAACTCGTGCGCAACAGCCTGATGGCATTATATGGCTACATCAGCACGTCTATGTGAAGACGCTGAGCTTGATTGAATGGCCAGGTACGGGCACGAGGACTTCGACGCACCAGCTCCCCTGGGTGCTGGTCACAGCTTACCAGGCCCATCTGAGCGTTTCGGCTGGAATGCGCATGGCAAACTAGCGCCAGTTCACTCGTTGCAGCACTGAAAGAAACCATGCTTCAGACACGCCCGAGATCTGAACAGGTTGGTCAAGTGGTTCAAACTGCGCCCGCAGGCGCTCATGCACAACAAGCTCCCGACTCCGCTCAAGCCTTTGCGCGTCTCCGACAGCTCCTTTAGCGCCAGGGACACCTTGAGGCTAGTTATGAGAGGATGTCTTCTCCTGTCGGTGGAGGACCGTGACAGCAGTAGTCAAGGCAGCGCGGCAAGCCCATGCGGGCGAGTCTGAACAGTGGACTGGTTTTCCAGGTAGCAGCCACGCGTGTTTCGCAGCACCTTTGCAGCGGAGTTGCACGCAACCCTGGATTCCTTGAGCCAGGCGGCAATTGTGCAGACAACGCTTCAGGAGATCGCCTGCGGTATAGCGAAAACGCCACAGGTACTCGCTTTGCGCGTCCAATCTGCCCTACATCTTGCCCCAGAGCTTAGCTGCGCCTAGATGCACGTTATGTCTTTGGCGGTGTGACTGCGATCGCGGTCAGAGTTCCAGCAGATGAGCATTTCTTTGTGTACGCTCTTACGCTTCGCGAGTTCCTAGGCAACACGCAGCTGAGGCGCTTATGGTGTATATACACACGCATAATGCTCGCTGACGGAGTCTTCAGAGGAGCAGTCGACCGCGACGCTCTCGCAACAGCCTGACCTGGAGCCAAGTTGGGCCACCGCCAGTGTTTTGGCCAGCGGCATCAGGGAAAGCGGCGCTGGCAACCATACCACCTCAGACGCATTTGACAGCAAAGCTGTTCGGACCTCGACCACGGTTGTAGGATCAACTGCCCTCCTTTCCTTCTCTTCCGCTGTCATTTGGGATTGGAGTTCGGTTATTAATTACCGAAGCCAGGATCTTGTCACGTTCGCATCTTATCTCACTGAGCGGATGGCGAGAGCAGACCGGTTGCCCAATCTCATTCAGAGGGAGCGAGTGCAGAGATGTCAGCATCGGGGGTTGGGCACCCACCGCCGCCGCGACCCGCCCCCACGGGCCCGGCGCGGAACTGGGGTTGTGGACCCGGGTATGTGGAACAGGGTTATCGGTTTTGGATGAGTAGTCTTGCGGAACTAGTCTTGTGGAGCTGTGTTTATGGACGCGGGTTTGTGGAACGGGGTATGTTGAAATTGGTCTTTCGTTGAAGCGTTTTTGAACCTTTCCTTCGCCCTGGTGCCGCGGCCTTCTGTTGAATTGGTCCCTCCTGGACCTGTCTTGGATCACGTGGTTTGAGCCAGTCGTCTTCCGTGAGGCGTCGTCCGAAATGCGGATCCATTCAGTCGTTTTGGGGACCATCCGACGCCCCGGGGTTCCATCGGCCAAAACGTGCGGGAGGGGTGCGCTGAAATGAGCCGTTCTGAAAGGCTAGCTCAAAGCCCCAGGTAGTCACGCGTGCAGTACGAAGTGCCTGAGTGGTGTGCTGAAGCGAGAACCCAGTCAGCCGTAGATCTGTTGGTGGCCCTTCATGTCCATGGGGCGCGAATTGTGTGAGGTGTGTGTGTGTGCGCCGAAATGATGATCCCCTAGCTCTCTTGAGGGTCTCCAGAGTTCCAAGGGGCACGAAGTGCGTGATGGGTGTGTTGAACTGAGGCTCCCAGAATTTTTTTTCCGGGGCAGCTCAGATCCTCTGGAAGTCCATGCGGCACGATGTGGTGTGAAGGGTGTGCCGAATTCGGCCTTTCGGGAGAATCCAGAAATCTGGGACTTCGGATCCATTGCGCTTCTACGCATGCGAGGTTTCATTGGCGCCCCAGTAGGCTTGGGTCAAGCAGGGGCACCTCCCTGGATCCCCCTGCCTTCCCCTCCCCCGAGGGAGAGAAAACCAACATAATACGGGGGAAAGCAAAGCAATCACCGATTGGGGGAAGTAGAAATTGCGCCGAGTGGGGAACAAAACACGTAGGGGGAACAAAAAAGAAGACAGAGAACCCCGGCCCTCCCGAGGGGGACAAAAACAAAAACTCGGGGGGCCCTAGCCCCCCACCCCCGACCACGGAGACCGTTCACGCGGCGGCAGGACGTTGGGGCACGCGCCGTGACGGCAACCAGCCGCATCTTCCCGGTGTCCCGAAAGCCTCCAGAGGTCTGTTGCCGGAGGTCTGAGAGAGGCCCCCATGAATGCCTAAGAGGTCCCTCGGGAGCCCCTGCTGGCCAAATTGGAGCGCCCCCGTAGGCCAGTCGGGGGTGGACAGAACCCCCAACAGTGACACGTCGATTAGTGAATTGTCCGTCTTCGGTTCTCGAGAGGGCGCCGCGGCCGTCATTTTCCAGGCTTGTGCCCGCCAGGTTTGGGCCCGATGTCGTTTTCACTGAACCACGTTTTGCTGAAGGGGGGTCTGTCCATCCCCGAGCCAGGAAGGGTGGGAAGCGCTCCAGGAGCGCGATCCTCAACCCTCCTCCACTTCCTGTGCGCGGCGGCGCGGAGCGCGTCGCAGTCTGTGGAGAGTCATCACGCGTCACGCGCAGGGCGCCGACCAGGCCAGGCGGACCACGCAGGCAGGGGGAGCTCCTTTGGCGGTGCCTCGGCCACGCGAGCCCAGCTCCCTCCTCCTCCCTTTCCCTCCTCCTCCTCCTCCTCCTCCTCCTCCCTCCTCCTCCTCCTCCTCCCTCCTCCTCCTCCTCCTCCTCCTCCTCCTCCTCCTCCTCCTCCTCCTCCTCCTCCGCGGCTCAGGCCGGTTTCTTGAGGCTCCCTCCTCCTCCCCTGCCTCACCTCGGGGCGCTCGTCATTGTCGGGGCAGCGCAAGACTCGAGCAAACCAGAACTCGGGCTTGTCGACGCTGTTTGACGAGCGTCTTGGAATTTGACAGGTTAGGGCTGGACGAGCCTTGTGAGCATCGTCAGCAGCTCGTCGGACGGAGTCGGAAGGTTTGTTGTTGGCTGGCCATTTCCCTTCTCCTTTTCCTAAAGCAACCCGCGATGCGAAGGTAAGCGCATACAAGAACAGTTGTATACGCAACAACTTCTGGAGTCTCGTGTGGATTTCTCGGATCCGCGCTGCACCCCTCTTTTTGGCGCGCGAAACGCTAGGCGCTGCCATGGAGGGTTCAGCGCCGATCCGAGGAATATGTGCTGACCTCCGAAATGTCAGTGTTATGCGTTATGTGCTTTGTTTATACTGGTTGTTCTCCCTCGTTCCCATTCTTCAGCTCAGGCTCTCGTCCCTCGAACGCCAGCCCCAGACCGCTCTTTTCGCCCTTGCGTACCGCCCTGACGCTCGCTCTTCAGGCCGTATGGACCGCGAGCTGTCCGCGGCCTCGTTCGCCACCTACGAGGGCGCCTGGGGGGGAGGAGAGCGAAGAGGGAGGAGGATGTGATGAGTTTGGTGGTGGTGATAATGATGATGGCGACGATGCAGATGATACTGATGCTGATGCAAGTGCTGATGCTGATGATGACGATGCTGATGCTGATGACGATGGCGATGGAAATAATGATGACGATGATGATGCTGCTGATGATGATGATGATGATGATGATGATGATGAAGATGATGATGATGATGATGATGATGATGATGGTGATGATGATGATGATGCTGATGCTGGTGATGCCGATGATGATGGTGATGCTGATGCCGATGACGATGAAGATGAGGTTGCTGATGGTGCTGACGTTGATGATGCTGATGCTGATGCTGATGCTCATACTGATAATGAAGATGATGGTGCTGATGGTGATGATGATGCTGTTGATGCTGATTATGCTCATGGCGATGATGGCGATGATGCTGATGCTGAGTGTGACGATGATGATGATGATGATGATGATGATGATGATGATGATGATGATGATGATGATGATGATGATGCTGATGCTGATGATGATGATGATGATGATGATGATGATGATGATGATGATGCTGATGATGATGATGATGATGATGCTGACGATGACGACCACGATGCTCATGATGATGCTGCTGCTGGTGATGATGATGATGATGCTGGTGGGTGGTGGTACTGATGATGCTAACAATGATGCTGTTGATGCTGGTGCCGATGGTGCTGCTGATGCTGACGACGAGGATGATGATGAGGATGAGTATGAGAACGAGGATGAGGATGAGGAGAAGGAGGATGACGACGACTTCGACGATGACGACGACGTCAGTGACGACGATGACGACGACGACGACGTCGGTGGTGGTGGTAATTATGATGATAAAGATGATGATGAAGACGATGATGCTGATGACGATGATGCTGATGATGATGAGGATGCGGATGAGGATGAGGATGAAGATGATGATGCTGATGATGATGAGGAGGAGGAGGATGATTATTTGTTTTGCATGATGAGGAGGATGATGGCTGGCTAGAGAGGCTCAATTGGCCTCTTGGACGCGACAGTCTGCGTTTGCCCGCGCCTGGTGATTCCCCTTGTACGCGCAAGCGTTCCTCGGGGACGTCCTGCTTGCTTGCAGAACTTGGCGCTGCGGTGGAACGATTGGTTCGAAACGTGCCCAACGAGCAAAGGGAGAGGGTACTTTTCTCTAGCAGGCGCAACGGCTACTCCTATCATTGAGTGCGGAGGAGCGTAGCATAAAAACCAGTCTGGTCGACATCTGCATGGGTCACTGCATGTATGAGTGCACGTACCCCCTCCTTTACGGCGGCATGTGGGATTGCCCCGATACAGCGTGGCAACACAATTGCGGTCACGCCGACACGTTGCTACGTAAGTTTCAAGTGAGTTCTTGCAGCGGGCATGGACCTAAACATGACGAGATGACGCCGTCAATTTCCTTCCTGAGGTATTCGAGAAACTCTTTGCTCTCCTGGAAGGTATTGACTTGTGAATCGAAGAGACCAGCTGCGCTGGACGGGGCTACGCTATTAACATTCATGTGTTCGGGCTGTGCCTGGTCCATTCGGCTAGGCGGACGTTGCTGGGGAACGCGATTTGTTGTGCGCCAGGGCGGAGTCTGGCCCATTCGGCAAGGCAGACGACGAGGGCAAAGCTTGTCCTCTTGGCGCCAGGGCTGTCAACGATGTGGCATTCACTGGCTTTTGGATTCGTGTGCTTTCTGTGGGTTCATGATTCCCGCAGTGCATGACGATGACGGGCAGGGAGGGAGTAGTACCGCTGCTGAGCTCACGTTGTCGCAGATGCAGTGCATCCTGGACCAGGCCATAAGCCGCATGCGAGCCATGGACCAACGCCTCCCTGGCACGCAGTCGGATGCACAAGTGGATGCGCCAGTGGCGTCCGGAGGAGCTGGGGGGGCAAGCTTTGGTTCTCGTGGGCGGGAGTCATGAATTGGTTGCAGAAGATGGCGAGCAACATCAACAGTTCGTGTCTCACCGGAGTGCCTGCTTTCACCTAGCATTTCAGTTCGAGCCCTGCGTGAAGGGCTCTCTCTTCCGAGCGCGCAAGAGCCACGACGCTTTAATTATGTGGCATGTCGTGACATCCTGAATCGGTGAACGCTTGCCATTCTTGTTGCTGGACGGTTTCATCGAGTCCCACCCGCCCACCAGGAGTCCCAGGGGTCGCCCTGGGACCCGACGAGCTAATCCAGCGTACGATGCAGACCTTCGGCCCAGGAGCCGTCTGCCAGGTCGACGACGGGCGTGGTCCCCAGGTCCGCACCGCAACGGCTCCGGCTTCGCCCCCCCCCCCACCCCCCCGCAAGCCTCCGCCGCCGCCCCACCTCCACGAGGGCGACCTTCACCAGCTGCAGCGGGGGCCTCCGGCGCCGGGCCGGGCCCTGCGCGCTGCCGACGGCCTCCGCAGGCCCAGAGCCGCCGCGCGAGGCGCGTCGCGGCCCGCTAAACCCGCGGCCTCCTCGCCTTCGCCGCCGCCGCCGCGGCGTCGCGGCGTCGGGCGCGAGCAGCAGTGTGGCGGCAGCCCGCGGGCTCGCCACCGCCGCGCGCAGCATGCCGTCGGCGGAGCGCAGCAGCAGCACATTCCCGAGGGGGAGCGGCCCGCCGCGAGGCCCGCCCTGGCGTGCGTGGCGAGGAGGGCCCCCCTGTTGCCGCCTCCTCGGCGTCGAACAGCCCTGCCAGCTGCGTGAACGTCCTCGGCGAGTGCGACGAGGGCGCGGCTGGCGGCACAGGGATCGGGCCAGAAAGGGGCACGAATGAAGTGATGAATGCGATGTTGTGATGGTGGTGATGGTGACGTGCATCATTGCGATAGTGATGGTGATGGCGCTGATGGTGGCGCTGATTTTTTTTGGCCGATGAACACGTCGACAATCATGTTGCGGATGTTGTTAACGCTGATGCAACTGATGCTCATTGTAATGATGTGTCTGATGATGATCCTTGCGATACTGGTGATGATGGCGATGATGATGATGCTGCGGATGCTGATGATGACTGTAAGCATCAGGCGGCGTTCGACGATGTTGCTTATGATGCTGAGCGTGATGATGAGGACGATGTTGATGATGATGGTGATGCTGGTGATAGTGAACGTGACCGTGAAGGTGATTTGATTGGTGGTGCTGATGCTGATGAATGTTGTGTTTTTGACGGTCTCGACGTCGTCGACGGTGACGACGATGATGCCGGTGGCGAGGGTGCGCGGTGCGCCAGTGCCGAGCGCCAGTGCGCGGCGCAGGGCCCCAGCTTCATACCTATTCGCGGTGGAGGCCCACTGTGGCGGTCGGGGGCGCGAGGACCGGAGATTGCCGTTGCGATCTTGGCCAGACGGGTGGCTCACGCCACTGGGGAGGACGCCCCAGTGGCGGACCGACGCGCCAAGCGACATCCAGCCTCCATTTCCCGGGAGAACGCGCGGGCGCTGTTGCGGCGGCTGCAGCCATCAATGGGGGCGGCTGCAGCCCAAGTGACAACGTGGCTTTCCCCCCTCCCATGGGGATCCCAGCGCGCTGACCAGTAAGCTTTCCTCTTCTTCTGCGGGGCGTCGACGGTTGCCGCCCTCGCTGACCTGCGAGTCCTCACCCCTTGTCGCCCTCTGGGTTCCGAAAGGCTATCCATCAATACAGGATGTCGAAAGATGATGCCAAGTGTTCTGTTGTCCCGATGTGGCCCCAACGCTCGTAGCCCGTAGCTGTGCCCACCAGCGCCTTCTGCGATGGCTCAGTTTGCGTTCGGTCGCTTACCATCCTCCCCCACAGTGTTCATTACCGTTCAGTGCGGTTCGGTTCGTTATTGCACCCCTTCCTTCTCCTCATCATCCCTTTTCTCGTTCTCGTTGTCCTGATCCTCTTGGCCTTCCTTGACCCCGCCCCCGTCCTTGTTGTCGTCCTCTTTGGTCCTTGTCGCCCTCCTGCTCCCCCTCCCCCGCTGTCCCTTCCCATCCTGTCCGCTCGCCCTCCAAAGGCACCTATGTTTGGCTTTCTTGTCTTAAGGAGTTCTTTGCTCCTGTTGCCGCCGCCTCTCAATCTCGCAGCTTCTCTGCCGGCTTTCGCAGCTGTCTCGCCGATTGCAAATTAGCCTGCACTGTGCTTCCTCCCCACGCACAGGCAGTGCGGTTTCTGCTGTTTCAGCGCCTCTCGCAAAATCGATCCTCTCTCCCCCACCCCTTGATTTTGGTCTCCACTGCTCCTGGCCCTCGTCGTCGTCGTCGTCGTCTTCCTCATCCTCCTTTGTCTTCTCCCCCTGCTGCTGCTCTTGCCTGTGTGCCGCCTCGTCCCCTCGGCATGGTCATCCCAGATCTCCGGCGGCTTGACCCCTCCCGAGTCGCCCGCCTTTGGGGATCTCTCGGCCTTTTTGCTCCGTGTTTTTGTTCATCGCATTTTGTCCACTTGCTTGATCCCGCGGGCCCAGAAACGGCTTCCCGATCACGAACATTGCGAAACAGTTTCTGGCGTTGTTCTTTCGAATCGCCAGAGACCTGGCGCCTCATCACCCTCTTTGTTGCAGCGCCCTGCGATGGGTTTGCCAGCCGCTGCGCTGCGGTGGGAGGTCAAGCTCCGAGAGACACCTGGGCCGTCTCAGGCGCGCGGCCCTGACGCCGATGACGTCATGACGGCGGTGGCGAGGAGGATTTCGGATGGCGATCACGGGTGGGATGACGGTTTTCTCTGGCGGCGTGAAGAAAGTCGTGCGATTGTGTGGGTGTGTGTGTGTGTGTCGCAATTTTTCTTGCATCAGGAGGCCATCTCAAGGCCCTGAGCATGTCACGGCCCAGGGTGAAAACCGGTCCTGAGTCAGTGGTCAGGAGCTAGATTGCCCGGCGACGCGGACAAACGTCCAATCGTCGGAGATCTGGGGGAGGAGGAGGAGGAGGAGGAGGAGGAGGAGGAGGAGGAGGAGGAGGAGGAGGAGGAGGAGGAGGAGAGAGGACAAGCTATGTGCGCTCGCGTCATATATGATGTCCTACCCCTCCCTCCCATCCCTTACCATGGCGTAGGGGGCCCTCTTGCGTCGATCCGGGGCCCTCTTGGAGATTCTTGGGCGAGCTTGTGGCGATCTTTGGTCGATCGTGGAGGCCCCTTGGGCCGCCTTGGAGCGTCGGAGAGCCGAGAAGGCGAGAACACCAAAATCTTTCAACAAACCATGGGACATGTATAGTTTTTATTTCTTTTAGGAGAACTCTTGGAGGCGTCGTGGAGCGTCTGGGAGGTGTCTTGGACCGTCTGGAGGCCATCTGCGTCGACGGATTATTTTGGCGACTCCAGCCCTTCTGGACCGTCTTGGAGGCCTCTAGGGGTACTCTTTGCCCGTCTTCGGGGTCTTCGGGGCCCCAGGACCCACCGGGGGGAATGGCATTCTGTCAAGGGAGGAAGAACCACCCGGACCGGACAATTGGCGTTTACTAAACGGCCCTGGGCGTTTACTAAACTGCCTTGCCCTGCTTGATTCCTTCTATGGGCGCGTTTACTAAACCCCCTCGCTGGTCGGGGTGGTTATTATGGGGGTGGATGGTTTGCCCCCTATTCTGACCCATGACCCCCCCCTCCAAAATTCTGACCCCGGGGCCACCCCCTCCCAGACCCACGCGGGACCGCCCCCCGGCACCCCCCCGCGGACCCCCCCATCCCCCCCCCCTCGGAGGGGAAGGATCCAACGGAAGGAGCTTCCCTACGGCTCGTCTACGACGTTGCTCAATTTCGCTTCGGCCGGCACGCTTGAGGAGGAGGGCCCAGGGAAAGGGGGGGAGCGGCGACGGCGACGGCGACGACGCTGACGAGGGGAAGCGGCGACGGCGACGGCGACGGCGACGGCGACGACGACGACGACGTCGACGACGACGAGGACGACGACGGCGAACGGAAGAGCGTCTTCCACACGCCGACATGGCCTGTGGATTTCCAGTTGCGCCCGATAACTCTGTACGTATATTCCACCCTGGCCTCCTTCGCCTTCATCCTGGACCTCTTGTTAGGGTCCGCCTTGCGACGTGGAACATCGGGTTGAGGAAAAGGCTTTGGCACGTGCAGCGGCCTCTGAATTGCCATGCCCGCGTCTCCTCGTAGTTATAGCCGCAGTCAGTGGTCTCTTGGGTCGACATGATCTGCGTGCCGACCCTTAACGATTCCGATCGCATCGTGTACTAGCATCCTTGTGGGGTTGCGCGTGCAAGTGCGCGGCGCATCCCCAGGGGCGCGCACTGTCGCGCCGAAGACTCCCAGCCAAATTGTTGCCTTCAGCTCCGAAGGCTCCACGTTCCCAACGCCAATAGCCTACCATGTGTAATTGTGCCCCCGTGCTAGAATAACGATCCTCCTCATCTAGTACTGGTTCTCCCCTCGCATGCTCTCGGACGAGGTAACATATAACAATCATGTTCGTCTGTTCCTCCCACCACCATCTGAGCACTGCGATGTCATTGGGACACCTATACACATATATATATATATATACATGTACCTATATATACATATATATGTATACGTATACATTTATATACATATATTGGTACCGCTTTTCACTGCGCGTCGAGCTGCCTCAGACATCTGACTGCGTAGAGATTGCCGCCAGGTGTCGGGTCGATGTGACTGCACAGCGTGCTCTCGCCGCCATCGCGATAATTACCTCCTGCAAGCCTGCTCCGCTTGTTTTTCTCTGCAAGCGTCGCTACTGCCTTCATCGTTTTGACGTCGAGGCGGTCCCCGATGTACACCTTAGGCGATGCTTAAGAAAACCCAAGTTTTCGGCCAGAGTCTCGATTATTCTCAATGTTTCGATGTAAATCCTAAGATTTGAATGGAAATGTTGGGTTTTTATTCAAATTCTGAGACTATGAATTTCTTAACCCATGATTTCTAAAGCATTTCGCAGGGTGTAGTTGGTACCTGAGGCTCCGACGTGGGTCTCAGGGAGTATGACCATTCCGTTTTTCAAACTGTTCATCCTTATCTTGAGCCTGGGGTCCCAGGTCGATAGGTTCTGCATGAAGGTGGCGCCTCAACCCTCGAGGCTTGTCGCTACTTGTGGGTGCACCCTTCGCCTCTGCTTCCACGACAACTGCCGCCATCTCGTTCTTCTCCATCGCCTTCGTGTCAGGCTCCGCAGCCGGTGGAGCTGCGCCACGTCATTTGGCAGCATGGGCTCAGCTTCCACGTGGACCGGCCGCCTATTCTTTGCTCTCACCGCCCCCATTTGCCTCCTCCAGGTCGTTCGCCGTCCACCTGCCTCTTCTTCTGCCGCCTGGGCTCGTCGATCCACGCCTGCTCCTTCTTCCGCTGTTCCTTGAGCTTCTCTGCGCTGCCGCGAACGCAGCCCTGGCCGCCTGCTTGGGTGCCGTGGGGAAGTCCGAATTGCGCCGCTCGAGTTCCTGCGCGCCATCCTCGGTGATTCCTCTGCTGTTGCCCAGGTTGAAGAGCTCGCCCGAAGAGCTCGCCCGTGTCGACCTCCACGTCGTCGTCTCCAAGAAGGGGACCGACGGGTAGGAGTGGTTTGCCGTTATTTCGTGCAGGAGGTGATGGTCCTCCCAGTGGGTAATGCCGCATTGTTTCCTTGACTCGATCTTCCGCCTCTGATACCTCCATCGATCGTTGGTCGAAGGTCTTCGTCGCATGTGCAATCTCCTCTCGGAGTCGCTCTCGTCGTCGTATGGTTTCTTCTGTGTTGACTGCGCTTGCGCCTTCGCCACTTGGTCCTCTGCTTGCCGAAGTGGTGCTCGAGACCTTGGTGCGTGAGCAGCTGCAGCTGGCTTCGGGGCGACTTCTCCGAGTAGTTGCTCGGTCCTCTGCTTGACGATTGCGCTGCCTGTTTGTATGGCTGTCTCGAGAAGTTGTACCAGGGCGAACGCTGCACCCAGCTTCCTGTTCTTCGCAGCAGTGGAGCTTGACCGGCCACTCCAAGCTTGGACATATAGAGGTTGCTCTGCTCCTCAAGCTCTTGCCGCCGCACTTGGCTGTTGCGCCTGATGCTGCCAATCGGTCACTCCACAGCCACGTGCTGCACTGCTGAAATAATGCCTGTGTACCTTTCTGCTTGCCGCCGCGACGCCATCATGGCCACGTCTGAACCAGCGGCTTCCGTGGCCATCCATGACGTCCACTGTCACCGCCAGGAGGAGACATGGCAGTGCACCGAACGGGAATAATCTGGAAGGAAGACAACTCCTCTGCGCTTGGAGGATTGTAGGGCAATTCGCCCTCGTCGTCAGGGCGGTCCTACCACTCTGGGTGCCCATAGGACTCGCGGCCACCGCAATCCTTATCGGCCTTGGACCCATACGGCTGTGGATGACGATGCTACTTACAATGGTGATGATGATGAAGGTGTTGATAATGATTGTGATGGTGATGGCGACAATCATGGTGATGGTGATGATACCGTTGGTGATGATGGTGGTACTGGTGGTGACCGTGATGGTGACGATATTGATGGGCGTGACGATGGCAATGCCGATGATCTATGTGATGCTGATGCTGTTGCGTATGATGATGCTGGATGTTGTGTTGCTGGCGATGACGATGGTATTGATGATGCTGCTCATGGTTACGATTAAGGTCATGGTGGTGGTGCCGACCATGATGCGAGCGCAGGACGCTAACTCCAACAACGATGCGGCTGGGGAGGAGGAGTAGGAGGAGGGGGATGACTGCTCATGATGAGGAGGTGGAGGCCAGGCACGCCGAAGTCTGGGAGGTGCGCCTAACCAATTGCCATCTGGAGCCAGGGTGGGGTGCCCTGGTGTGAGCCTTCTGCATTTCACAGGGTCCAACGTGGATGACGGATGATGAGGAGGAGGAGGAGGAGGAGGAGGAGGAGGAGGAGAAGGAGGAGGAGGAGAAGAAGGTTGCATTGGAGGAAGGGCAGCAGGATGAGGAGGAACATTGGGGTTTTAGGAGTGAGGAACGCGGAATAGTGAGGCGGAGGAGGCGAAGGGCAGGCACGTGTGCGCGATGTTTGTGTTAACGGCCCAGAGGCGTCGGGTCCCACAGCATGGCGCTGCACCAGTTCAAGATGGGGCCCAAGGAGAGGGGATGGACCCCCCCCTCCTCCCTTTCCTCGCCCCTTCCCCCTCCCCCCTGCCCCCTCCCCTTCCATCCACTCCCTCGGCGCCCCTCCTCCCCGCTCTCCTTCGTTCTCCTGCTCGTCCCAAACTTCCAAACTGCTTCTTCTACCGTCATTTCTCTTTTCCTGTTGTGTGCTCTTCCTAATCTATCTCGCACCACCGACCCAAAGCGCAGTGAGGCATCGAAGCACAGGCAAAGAAGGCGGAGGAGGACGAGGATGGTGGCCAGAGTAAACGGATTAATCCAAGACGCACCACGCCTTCCATCCGTGTAGCTGTTGCACATTCGGACAGAAAGCCGGAAGCCGTTTTAAAGTGGAACCGCCTTTGAAAAATAGTTGCCATCCATTCGTGCGTATGTTGCACAAGTATACACCCGTGTTCTTACGGGCTGGTGGCGTACGGTGCGCTCGCTGGGTTATGACCGGGAACCGCGTTCTATTTGTATAGTTTCGCGGGCGATGTTTCTCCCCCAATCCCCGAGTTTCGCCCGAAAAGTCTGGCCGCTCAGAAGAATGGGAAAACCCTGGGATACACCCCAAGGGGGCTATTCGGACGCACCCCTATCGAGAATGGACACCCCCCCATCGTATATCCCAGGGTTAGGCCCCAAATTTCTGGTCCATTCGGAAACCCCACGAAGCCTGGGATAGGGGTCGACATATCCCCTGTTATAGTTGGTGGAATTCGTCGAGACGAGGTTGCGCGACGCCGAGTCGAGAGCCCCCGTTTGAAGACGACCCGCCTTTCATCAGTGTACTCTGCTGGTGTTTTTCAGTCGAGCGTGCGGCGTGCCGAGGCGAGCGTCCCCTTTTTGAAGAAGACCCGTCCTCCATCCGTGTACACCCTGCGAAATGCTTAAGAAATCATGGGTTAAGAAATTCATAGTCTCAGAACTTGAATAAAAGCCGAACAATTCTATTCAAAAGTTAGGTTTTCCATTGAAACAATAAGAATAATCAAGACTCTGGCCGAAACCTTACGTTTTCTTAAGCATCGCCTAGGGTGTACGTATTCCGTGTTTTTGTAAGTCGAGTGTGCGTGGCTCCGAGGTAATCGCCCCATTTTGAAACCAGCCCGCCCTCCACCCGTGTAACAGTTTGTTAATTTCAGGCGTGGAGCGCGCACAACACGCCGAGGATTGCTTCCTCCGAGCCTATGGGGAGTGCCTGCAGCAGCTCCGCGGGCGGTGGCGAGAGGACACTTCGGGTGTGCCATGTGCGTCGCTGGCTGCCGCAGGCTCGGATGGGGCAGGTGACGTGTTCGTCGAGGTTGTGATGGCGCCGTCGGACATTTTGCGGCTGATATGGCTCAATCCGCTCTCCGCCTCCACGTCCGTGAGGCTCGCGGAGCTGACCAATGCCACCATGGCGGCGGACGCGATTTTACCTGCGGGCACGAAGGATGCTTGTAGAGAATGGCGAGGATTGCTCCGACAGGAAGCAGAAGGGAGGCTGGCGGTGGAGGCAGTGTGCCAGCAGGGCCCCTACACTTCTGGGCATGCGGGCTGCGCGATCGTCATCGGCAATGGCGCGCAGGAGCTGCACCTTCGGCACACGTGGGGTCTCCACTTGGAGCCGATGGTCGGGCGCTGGCTGTCCGCGTGTGGCAGAAACAGTTGGGATCGGTGTGTGTGTGTGTGTGTGTGTGTGTGCGTGTGTGTGTGTGGGTGGGGCTCACGCGTTTCTTTGTCCAACCGTCGGAGGCGAACAAGATGGGCTTGTACAAGGGGGCGGTGAATTTGCTGACGCATTGGTGGCGCCAGATTTTGCGGGAGGCCGCAGCGCTGAGTACCAGTGTTCTTCGCAGGCACACATTTCGGGATCTCGAAGGTGGATGATGAGTGGCGGCGAACAGGTTGCGACGGGCTGGGGCAGGCAGGCACGCGCGAACGGAGACGAAGAGGAGTGGGAGAGGATATCCGCCACGTGTTTGATGAGCATTTCATGGCCGCCCCGTGGACCTTTCGTGTGGCGCCCGAGGCCACTTACTGTGCGAGTGACAAAGAAGGAAAGCCAGGCGGACGCAGCACCATCGACTACATTTTGATGCTGCAGGGCTGCATGGAGTGGGTCGAGAGGATCCACGTGATGATAAGCGCGGGCGCGTAGGTGCATACGATCGGGGGCACCCCGCCGCCCAGCCACCCCCCCTTCCCTTGCTGGGCACTGCGCGCCAGAAACATGTGGGGGGGGGGGGCAGGTGTGCGCAGCGGTGGCAGACCCTGCAGTGCGACCCGACGGGGATGATGGACGCGGTGATTCCGGGCGCGGAGAAGGCGTCCTTCCTGGGAGACTCGGGGCAGCAGGTGGCGGAACTGGGGGCGCCCGATGACTATTTCGAGCTGCTGGAGAGGGTCATGCTGGAGGCTGGTCACGGGCGCTTCGCCGAGGTCCAGACGGTGCCGCACCCTCGGCAATGGGAGCACAGCGACGAAATTTGTTACGGCGACGCGCGGTGCTTCGAGATGGACGGCAATGCACAAACAAGAGAGAGCATGATACCAGCGGCAAGCTGAAAGAGGCCCCCCAGCAGCTGCACGCGAGGAGGTAGGCGGACAAGGGGGACAGGGAGGAGTTCAACCTAGACAAGGTGGAGGAGGGTTGGGGGAACATGAGGATTGTGGAGTCGCCGAAGATCGCGGTCGGCGGCGAGGCGCAGGTTCTGGGCAGAGCAGAGGGACGGGAGATTTGGGCCGCTGTCGCTGGAGGAAACGAGTGGATGGAGGCATGGAAGTTTCCTGGTCGACAGGGTGGAACGAAGGCGGCGGCGCTGGACTGGAGCAGTCGGCGAGTTTGAGGGGGCGTTCTGCTCCGCCTTTGCCGGCATCCGCTGGCGAGGAAGAGCTGGTCAATTTGGGCGCGGGAAGGGTTGGCCGCTGCGTCGGGCCCCCCCCCCCAGGCGCGAGGCAGTCCCAGACGTCGCCGTGCCCGTTGGGTTGCGCGAGTTCTCCCTGGGCGCGGAGAAGGCCGGGCGGGGCGGGTTTCGCGGTGGAGATGCCAGCGCAGGCGCTCTTTCGCAGCCTGGCGCGACCCGCCGGCCTGGCCCCGCTCTATTGGCTCGGATGTCGCGCGAGTCTGGACGCCCGAAATGGGTACCGAAAGAATGGGTACAATGCCCAACAGCAGTTCCTGCTCATTTTGAACAGGCCTCACTGTCCACGCCGCCACGGCCTGTGTCCATTCGAGACTGGAGGCCGCCTGCCCAACAGCGGCCGCTGTTGGTTTGGGACAACCTTTGTTGTTGGGCATCGTACCCATTCTTTCGGTGCCCATGTCGGGCGTCCAAAGCAAGCGCGGCGGCGAGGCAGCGGCGAAGGGCGATCGCGCGATTCGCCTCGGGTTTGGGGGCGGCGCTCTACGCGAAGAGGCTGAAATGCAGCCCCCCCCCCCCAGAGTTGCGGCTTCGAGCGAGGGGGCCGACGTGGGCGGCCATCGCGCCGTTGCAGGTCCCCAGCTGGCAGCTCCATTAAGGAGGCTGGAGATTGGCGGCGGCCATGAAGGACTCGCAGAAACCGTTTGGCTCGTCTCGTTCGGGGGCGCTGGGCGCGGCGGGCGGGCGGCTGATTGATGGGGCGAGGCCCTCTGGAGGCGGCGCTGCAGGGGCGCGGCGGTGGACTCGCCGACTCGCGAGGGCGCGCGCGAGGCCGACGCGGGCGATGGCGCGATGATGGGCGACCCTTTCTGCGTCGAGGCGCTCGCGAAGGCCTTGAAAGGGCCCGCGCGGGATCGGGCGGGGGCGCGCGGGCGGCGGCCCGCGGCGCCCAGAGGCGGGCGCCGCGGCGCGCCACTCGGGCCCGCCGACCTCCCCCGAGGGCGCGGCGGGGCGCGAGGTGCCGAGGAGGCGCGCGTCGGCGAAAGCTGCCTACTACGCCGCGGGCGGCTGCCGGAGCTCGAGCGCGCCGTGGAGGTGGGGGGGGCGGGGTTCCACAGAGCGCAGCCGTGGCCGCTGTTGTCAGTGCGTTTCGTTTCGTCAGGCGCCGCTGCGAAGGCCGACGCGATGCCCGGGCCATTTCGGTCGCGCTGCAGCGGCGGGCAAGGCCGCATTCTGGGGCGAAGGCGGCAGCGCCGATGGCCTGACGACGCTCCGCCGCGCGCGGAGACGGGGCCATCTGGGGCGGTCTCGCTTCTGGCGCGCCGAGTCGGAGACGACGCGGGCGAGGCTGCGAAGGCCCGCGAGGGCGAAGCCGACTGGCTGGAGGAGTTGAGCAGGGCGCCGTGGAACTTGGAGGCGGACAAGGAGGTGGCCGAGAAGTGCGCCATGCTGAACTTGCAAGGGTGGCGCGAACCAGTTGGCGACTCAGACCCCGCTGCCCTCTGCGGTCGCGCCGTCTGGGATGGAGAGTCGCGCCCGTGATGTTCGCCATTATTGTCGCGTTTTGACAAATGGCAACCGGCGCGCGGCGCGCGAGCGAGTTCCCCTGGGCCAGAGAGAAACATATAAGCATCTCGATGGGCCGATCGCTCAAGCGACTCGTGGAGGAGGGTGACAACCGCGGCACCGTTGCGAGGTCCCGAGTTAGCAGAGTAGCAGCTGAGCACTTTGATGACGTGCGGCCTGGCTTCCTGCAGATCCTCGGGGACATGGGTGTCCCTGATCCCCACGACGCGGCGGACTCGCAGTTGATCGAGGCTTCCACCCGACGGGCCCTCGACGGCCTGGAGCAGTACGGGGTGGGCAAGCTTGTCAAGCGGAGCGAGGCCGTCGGCGAGAGGATCAGCGCCCGCTGGGACCATGTCTACAAATGGAACGCGAACCTCGGGTGCAGGATCGCGAGGTCGAGGTGCGTCGCGCGAATGTTGAAGTGGCAGGAGTACTGCGACGACCGCTTCGCGCCAGGAAGCAGCATGGCCGACAGCCGAGTGGTGGGCACCGTGGCTCTGAAGCGCGGATGGCCCACCTTCGCTGTTAACGCGGAGGACGCGTGCTACCGCGTCCCCGATGAGGAGGGCG